ATTTAATGGAAAATATTTATACTTCTTTGAATTGTTTCAGAGTCAAGGCAAACTTTCTTTAAGATTGTTCTGAAATACTTTCACAATAAAATGAAAGGAGACGTCTCAAATTTCCCTTGTTTGAATTCAGAAGGCCTCTTCCTGCCAAAGCGAAACACTTTGCAAGCTCCATTTAGCATCAAAATTTTGGGTCTTCTGTATAATATGTGGGGTTTCTTCTCTGTATTATCTCATTAAACAAGAGGAATTTCTGTACTATTTCAGAAAAATTCCTAATGGCCATGCTCCATCATGGGCTTGAGTTAGTGAAAAACTTGTATGTTTGTGAAAACACTGCTGTCCTTATCCACAGAGATAAAGCAATGCTCTGCAGGTCTGAAAGCAAGCTCTGCTTTTTCCAGCTGCCCATGCCAGTGTGTTCAGTGGGCAGGTCAGTAACAGATTAACAAATGCTGACTGCCACAATTGTGAGCTGGGAGCCAAGAGGGCTGAACCTCTGCTGAACAGAGCCTTGGCAGTAATGAATGCAGGATTTTTTAATCAGAATGTTGCCAACATAATGCATCACGTAAATAAAGAAACACTACAAGTAAAAACTACTGACTTCATAGATGAAGAAGGTAAACAGTAATACTAGACTTACAAATAATGGATAAAACTATTAAGCTGTTGGTTTCACTTAGAGATAACCACTGTATGAAGCAGCAGTGTTCACTCAATTGAATAATCTTTCAGGAATATAGTTCTTAAGTGTAAATGTGAACCTCTGCATGAGCTGGAGTTTGCTGTGAAATAACCTTGCTGTTAAATCTTGTAAAGTGCTCTTCTTTATTAGCTTAAAATATAAAACAGTAATTTAATTTCTGTTGTTCTGTGATTAAGTTATGGTTAACTGTTTGAATTACAGTTAATTGCTTGAATTAACTAGTGTTTGGGGTTTTTTTATTTGGGTTTCATATTAGTTTTCATTTGGATGCTGTTGTGCCAAATTCAGTTGTCAGTTTTGGCCAGCTTGTGAAAAAATTGGACAGTGTTAAAGACTCCATGGAGTGAGAAACTGATGCTTTTTTTTCATATTTATTTAACTAATATGAATTTAACCCCAGGTCAGAAGTAACTGAAAATTGTTAACTGAAGAGTTTGCTTCAACTTCTTTCAAAAAATTGTTCCTCCATGTAGAATAATTAATTAGCAGATCTCAGTGCACTGAAGCCATCACTACATTTTAAATTAAACAGCCATTCCAGAGAAAGGCCAGTAGGCTATGGGATATCCTTTTGGAGCGCTGGGCACAGACAGAGATATGCAGAAGAGCTGGTGGTGGTGTCACTGCCTGTGTGACAAGTGTTTTGTGAAAGTGCTGCAGCACTTTGGGCTGTTAGCTTACTGTCTTTTTACAACTCCTCAACTCACACAATCAAGAAGGAAATCAAGTGACGAGCTCCTTGCCTGAAGCTTGTTTTCCCAGGGCTGGGAATGCCGTGCCAGAGAGCAGCCCACAGCCAGCCCAGAGGGCTACTGCTCTGGGAGGTGGGGCTGTGAGTGCCACATCTGTTAATTACACACTCAGTCTCTCAGCAGGTATTCCCAGAGAAATGATGTACACCTACAGTTAGTGAACAGCACAAGAACAGGCTACTTTGTTTTAATTACAGTAAGAATTCCCTACTGATGATGTGTGTACCTATACACCAAAACCTGCTTGAATGCTGCAGGACAGTACTGATGGACCTTAATTTGAAATGTAAGTAGCTCTTCACGTGACTAGATCTGTTTTAATTTGCTCTGTCTGAACATTTCCACAGAGAAAAACATCCTGTTGTCCACATGTATGACTGACAAATAGCTGATATTCTAGGAAGCCCTACTTTTAGGTGGTCAAAGGAGTTCAATCAACCATTTACTATTCATAAATTAAATTAAAGTTTTACTGTTTGTATATAAAATTCAGTTTTTATTCTGTGATTAAAAAGTTTTGAATGAACAGGAGCCTCTTGATGTCACAGAGACGACACCATAAGAAATTGCAGTTTGTAAATAATGCACCACTGAAAATAATAGTATAAATTATAATAATTCCCTATATCAAAAATACATATATGTGGATAATATTTAAGCAGCAATAAGAACTAACTGAGAAAGTACTGCACTTTTTCCACACCAATGAATCACAGCTAGGAATAAGGATAAAACCTCTTCTTCTCTTTGCTTAAACAGCAGAATTGAATTACTCATTCAATTATAACATTTCTGATGAAAAACTAAAGATGCTAATTACCTGCCTGAAGTTTCAGTCAAAAGGCAGAGGAATATCTCTGAACCAAGATTTTCCCTACAGAATTTACACTGGGATTTGGGTATCCATGTCCATAATTCTCCATTATTTGGCATTTTTTCCCTATGCCTTTTTATTTTAATAACTAAAATATATTTTATTTTATTTTAATTACTAAGAGCTCTCTATACATTTTACCTTGACTAATTAGTAGTTCAGCTTTGCCATTTGTTGCATGGATCAAATTGTCTTTTGATGAATTGTCTGCATTGTTTTTTCTGTGGCAAAACTGTGCATGCAGTTTACAAGCAAACAGCATTTCAGTTCAGCAAAGGGCACAACTAAGGTGTATTTTAAAATATGCATGACAGAGAGGAAAGAAAATCTTTATTGTAAATCATGATAAACAGGTTTTTGCAGCAACTTTTTGTTGGCAATTAGGTGCTAATTAAGCATCTAGGAAAATGAGCTCTTACTTTAGTTTTGTGTACTTTCTTTTCAAGATTAAAATTGAAGAAAGTGACTGTTCTGATCTCCTGATAAGGCATTTCCCAGAAGGATTTCTGAGGAAGAGGATGAATATGTACTATATGCCCAGGTAGGTAGAAGACATCCACAAAACCTCAGTTCATAATTAATGATAACAAAACAAACCAAAAAGATATTCTGAGGGCATAGCAGTAAAACTGCCTGATGTCCAGACCAACCTCCATAGACTGAGGCTAGTTTTTATGCACCTAAATATGTAAATCTTGGTTTACTGGGATTTTGAGATCATCCAAGCAGGTCAGGCAGGAGCTCCAGCTGGCTCAAGACAGATTAACTCAGAGGTGAAAGCACCCATGTCAACAAGCACTTGACTGCAGAATCCTCTGCAGAACTCTGCATGCTAAAGACAGGAAGAGCTGACATGTCCATCTTGCCACAACCCCAGGGAGGGAGCACCAAAGCAGCAGAAAGCACATCTTCACTTTTGCAGCCTTTTCTCTGCCTGTCCTCCCCATTTTTATGAAGCAGTAGGACTAGGCTGATATTTCCTATCACCAATGGGGCAGCTGAACTGAGATTGACATTGAAACTAATTTTGCTTGTCAAAACCATCAAACTGGGGAATTTTGGAAGTGATGAATGGTGGAGTGCTTAAATATTTTCAATAACTTGCGGCTGTTTTCACCAATAAATGGAATTTTGTAAACACCAACAAAAAAATCTTTGCAACATCATCCACAAGAAAATTCCCTTTCCAGATGAAGAGCATCTGGTATCTCCTAATGAATATCTCTGAAAAAGTCTGTGACAGAGCTGGAATAGGAACACATAGCTCCTTCCTGTAAATCATGTGCTTGGTCCCATTTCCCATGGTTCTTTACATACTCGTAACCTTCCTCTCTTACCTATCTGGAGACAGGTCAGCTGCAGTAGGAAGGCATGCCTTGGTGGTTTGGTGAGGATTTTGGCTTTGGCAGTTCCTCACCAAAAGAGCAGCTAGTTCAACACTCTTCTAGCTGAATCTAGACCCTCATCTGTCAAAATATTTCCATTTAGAGTATGTTTACCCAAGCAATGGGGGATGTTAAAACTGTCCCTAAATTAGTACATTAGATGGGAAAGAGCCAAAGAGGAATACCTGTCTTTATCTTACACCAGCTTCTTCTTTTCTCTCTTGTACCTTTCTTTTGTTCTGATATTCCTCAAGCATATACAACAAATGCCTCACATTTCTTCAGTAAAACCATCTGAAGCAGCTAAGCTTCAAAGAGGGATGCCTATCCCCAGCTCTGAATGTGTTTTTATATTTATCTAATGCTTTTTCTTTCAGTCTGCTCCCATAATGAGCACTCATGATGTAACCCCCATCTTCACACACACAACAGTTGGCAGAGAGGGGGGAACACAGATCACTGCTGTGCAGCTGAACCTTGGGCTTCTGTAACTAATTCAGCAGGAGCTTGAACTTGTTGCTGAGATTCATGCCTATGAACACTGTCCTAAATGCAGTCATATAATCAGAGAATCCTAGAATGGTTAGGATTGGAAGGGACCTTTAAATACCATCTAACTCCAGACCCCTGCCATGGACAAGGAACCTTCAACTAAACTGGTTTGCTCAGAGCCCCATCCAGCCTGACCTTGAACATTTCCAGGGATAGGAAGCCCACAACCTCTCAGGGTAACTTATCCAATGTCTTGCCACCCTCATCAACCTGCCTCAGCCTGTATTCACAGGAGAGGCACCCTCTGATCAACTGATAAGGAATACCTCCGGACTGGTATTCCTTACTATTCAAATAGTTACTTATTTTGGGGGTTTGAAGTTCTTCAATACCATTTTTTGTGACACAGGGTAACAAAAAGCTCAAAAGGTAACTTAGAAATGCTTTGTGGAATTGTGTTCATTATCATTATCAAATTCTGCTAAACACAATGATAGTGCAAGATGCTGATGGCATTGCAGGATACATCCCTCAAAAGCTGGTAAAAGACATTTTAGAGAAGCTCATGATCTGATAAAGTTCTTTTCATTGTTCAAGAGGAGGGAAGGACTGGGCTAAAGGAAAACCTAAATTATGCAAGCTCACCTTGTCACCCCCATAGCTTTTTTTGTACTAAGAATGAGAGCTGGCACTTTTCCAGGGAGGTGTGTCAGAGGTAAGTGAACATGGCACTGAAGTATCCTATTGTGTTGTAACAGTCTTTCCAGAGACCTGAAGGTGTGTCCCTGCCTTCATAAATACCGCACTGCTCTTCCAAGGAGCTCCGAGCCTTTGGAGAGAGGGGAATTGCATCAGGAGTTGTGCCTGGGTGCCTCCGAGCCCTCTGCAAGGTATGCATTTTAGTTATCCTGCTTTTGCTCTGTTCCACTTGCAGCAGAAGGTTACTGTCAAATCCTTACCCATTCTAATGCTGTTATTTGCTCTGCTTGCAACAGAACTGTGGATCCCATATGAGGTTCCTTAAAGAGGGGTTTATGGAGTGAAAATTTGTGTATGGTATAAGGCATGGAGCAAGTTGAGTAAGAAGTAGTCTGTTCACATAAGCTGCTACCTGTGTATTCTACATTCCAAATTCATGTAACTAAAGATATTTGCAGATTACTGAATGTTTAAATGATTCTCTATTAGCATGGCTGCACGTGAATTTCTGCTTTCTAACACAAACATTTGGCTACAGAGATAACTATGATGGAAACATCTAAACATCTAAAAATACATTTAGGGATTTAACCATCAAAATTCCAGGTTTAAACCCCTCTCTCTGATCCTGAAAGCTGCTTTATAAAGGCAAACACCTACAGAAATGAGCATGTTCTGTGCAGATGCAGGGATCACCTTAATAATAATTTGCTAACTAGCTACATTTCAAAACTGAAGTTGCACATTTATCCCTGGAATTTGGTGGCTTTAAACACAGCCCAGTACACTGCAGGTTATCTTACACAGCAAAAAGGTAGTTCTGTTTGTTTAGCAGTTAAGGTGGGAAAGAATGCATCAACAGTTACTTTTTGCTGTGTGGAAAGACAACAACTTTTTTTCAGAGCAAATTTGAAATACTGGCATAACCAGTGAATTACAAGGATTTTCAGGATGCCTACAAAATAGTTTTCCTCAACTTGAACCAAATGGTTTCCTTTCTGTCTGGCATATTTTTGAAGAATAGCCAGAGGTTGGAGTCAAAAATGCTTATGAGTCATTTTACAAAATGGGAGATTATGGGAACAACTGCTTTATTGTTATAATTTAAGATATCCATCTGTGACTGACAAATCCCAGGTTCATTTACTTCTCTGACTGCAGAAGAGATTTTAATTAAGGTACCTCAGCCTCTGAGCAGCAGCATGTCCTGGCAGTGATTCTTCTGTTCCCCATTGCATAGGTAATGAAATAACTGAAAGTTACTCCACAGCCTCTTACAAGGATAATTCATAATGGTGTTTAAACCAGGTATTATTTACACAAAGGACAGATCATTGTGCTGATAACATCACTTTAATAGAGCAGTGCAGTGCCATGTCTGAAAAACTTCAACTGTCAAATGTAGTACAGCATTAAGTGAAAATGTTTTTATCTTTTTGTTTGTTTGTTTGTTTGTTTGCTAGCTTTGAAGGCAGATAATAAGCAGAACAGAGACCATGAGGATCAAAAGCTTTGGACTCCTCTGTGTGTTGATGTTGGTCTCCCAGATGCTGCTAGCCAACTGTGAAAGACAGAAGGGAAGGAAAAAGGGAAGACAAGGCATAGAACATGGTGGAAAAAAACAAAAGGAATCTAACCAAGGAAACGAAAAAGGGCATAAGTCAAAAGGAGGAAAATCATCTCCTAAAGGCAAGTTTGAAACCAAAGAAAATGCTGAGTGCACCTGGTCAGTGATGGACACCAATGCTGTCACTGTGCACGTACGGTGCAAGCATGGTGACAGTGAGTTCTGGTGTGAATTCTCTGGAGACCCTTCTAGCTGTGCACAGTATGCAGTAAACCAGAAATCCTACTGGAAACAAGTCTCCCGATCCCTAAAGAAGCAGAAGCAGATTTGCCAAGACCCCAAAAGTGTACTAAAATCTAAATTATGTAGGAAAGGCCCACAAAGTGCTCACCTCAGGTTGACTCACTCAAGCCTACTAACAGCAGTGGGTCCTGCCAAAGAGAACACAATGCATCACACAAAAGAAGTTGTTCAGACTCCAGCAGATGCCTCTGTGACTGAAAAAAGGCTAGAGCACAGCCCTCAAGACTGTGTTGAAGATGTAGATTACATTGACCAGAGAAAGGTGGCTGAGGAATACTGTCCAGAGAGCTTGCTTTCTTTTTGCAACTTTTTTATCACAATGGTCCAAGACAAGCGATGCTGAGGAGGTGTTTCTAAAGCTCTGAATCACGAAAGCCTGGTCTCTTTTAAGTTACTGCAAACCTTTCCAGATTTTATTCTCATGTTATATAGTGTATATAAGCAAGAAGGAATATATTTTTCTGATTTTGTATATACACAACAGACTAACTCAGTTGAAGATGTTATAGATGTTATGTGCCCAAATTGCTACCCAATGGATGTGTTACCAGTGGATGTTACAGAAGTGTATCAGTAATCTCCTTGGCCCTCTTTGAGCTGTGCAAGCCAAAGTGATGAATTCAGTGTCATGCACTTCTTGGCTATGTACAATGCCTTTGACCTAAAAATTACTACGAAAAATAAACTTCAAAATACATTAAAATATTCCCTCTCTCTCTCTTTGTGTTTTACTAGATTTCTCTCTAACTGTTAAACCTTTGTCAAAGAATGATCTTCAACAATATCTAGGTGAAGTGTTGTTTATAAAGTAGTTTTGAAAATACTTCTGCAGCTTTGTAGACTTCAGCTTTTGACAACGAGCTACATTATTGTTAGATTTTCATCACTGTAGTAATGAAGGGTAAAAAGATTTTCTGATTTGTTTATGAGTGTGCAAATCAGCTTTTAACCTCACCAAAGGATGTCAGAACACTTTGGAAATATCAATTCCCTTTTTTCTCCTACAGTCTGAAGTACATTGTACAAACTTCCTGGTAAGTTTCTGGGATAGAATGAGTTATACAAGTTTGTACATGGGCCCAGGACTGGATCCCTTATTCAACAAATAAAGAGCTCATATTCAACACTGCCTGCATGGTTTTTGGAAATTCCATATTCTTTTATCTTTCCTTATGGAAGATACTAATATTTTTTTCTGTTTGTTAAAGTTCTTCTATGTTAAAAAACCCCAAACAAACTAACAAAAACCCAAAACATAAAAACCCCACCCAAAACTCCAAGAACAAAGTCTTTAGAGAATGTAAAACTAAATAACAACAACAGATCTCTGTTGATTTTTTGAAAATTCAGCTGATTTGCTGAATTTTTGAAAATTCAGCTGGAAGAACTATAAAATATAACTTACACTTTTCTTGTAGATCTGAGCACAGAAGTATGGTCTTCTGCTACTGGTCCACTTGAGGAAACTTGAAATTTCATGAAAAACAATTTCCTGATAATTTCTAGTAAATTAAATTAGCATTTCTGTCTCTTGAGAAAATACAGCCTCTTTTCCTCTGTTAATATGTCATTGCTAGAATATTTTTTAAATGGGTAGTTATGAGTTGAATATGGGATGCTGCTATTAGTCAGGCAACCTGTGTTTGAGAAGGATTCAGATGTATTTTACCAAGTAAAAATGGCAAGAAAAGAAGCAGATTCTTCTTACTGAAGTTCTGGTCTCTGCATGCCCTGTGGAAACAGTAGCTGTTAGCAGGCCATAAATGCAGCAAAAATTTGGTTGGACTGGTGCCCATAGCTAAGCAAAATTACAGTAAAAAGGGGCATCAACACTAAAACCTGTGAGGCTGGGAGACACAGCCCTTTTGGTGCCAAGTAGGGTGGGAAAACCTCTACCAGGTCTTTATTATTAAGGGAAATACATAAATACTGAAAGGGCAGGTAAGTTGCAGCTGCTAGACACTTTGTGTGTTGGCCTACACACCTTCACAACCACAGGAGATGACTGAGATAAGAAAGTCAAAAATGCAGAGGAAGCATTAGGAGCTTTAATTGGCCCAAGCAATCATACACTACAGTAATTAATTATTAATGTCTTCTCCAGTATACAGACACCTTTCTATTAGTTCCAGATTATAACCAGAGCACTGGGCAGGCCTGACTTAAGAGGCTTACTTGCTCCAGATATTTTGGAAAATGTCCAATCTTGCCTATCCTTAGCTGCTGTTACTCTCAGGAGCACTGTGGTGAGGACTTTGTTGCCTGAAGCACAATCACCCTGCTCTGAGGTGCCAGAAGGCACTGCTGTCCCTGTGGCTGCCAGCCAGCCAGGCACATTGGGCCAGTGACATATCCCAGAGCAAATTCCAGTTTGGGATTCCAGAGCTGTGAGTTACGGCTCCATGTGCAGGACTGTCAGCACCTGGACCCACGTGCTGCAGCTGCACGTTGCTCTCCAGGGATGCATTATATTTCTTCTGCCTCATCTTCCTGTTTCCATGCAGGACTGACTTTTATCTTCACATGTGGCTCTTTGCAGGAGGAAAACATGCTCATTCTCAGCAGCTCATGGATGCATTTCACCTTCAATGCCAGCAGTTGTGCAAGGACAGTGTGGAGCATCAGGAGAAAAAGGGGGTCTCTGTGCAGCCTTTTTTCCTCAGAAGGTGGGCTAAAATGAGAGTAAAGATCTCAAAACTGTCTCAGCCAAAGTGAAGAATTTTTTACCTCCACAAGTGTGTAGTTTTGAATGTTCTTTAGAAGGGTGCATTTCAGAATAGCAGGGTCTGAGGCAAATATATCTGGAGTCTAACTTCATTACAGCCTGTTCTATTATTGTACTGACCCCAACCAAATGGCTGAGAGGGTCTAAGGTCTCCTTGCACTTACCAAGCCTTGTGTTTTTTCAGCCAACATCCACAAAGCAATCACTTGACACCAATCACATATGAGTCTTTCTTTGGGGCATTTACCGAGTCACTGAAGTCAGTGTAACTTTGGTGATTGTGGAGTCAAATAAAACTTTTCTTGTATAAATAAAAAATTCCTGGTATGGTTCACCTTAGGACCTCTGCTCGTTATGAAGATGTTCACAGCTGAGCTCTGTTCTCTGGATCTTTGTCCCAGGTGCACCAGCTGTCCTTCTGTCACAACTTCATGTTTGAAGAACTTGATGGCAGTGACTTTTCTAACACCTTTTCTTGCAGGACAGGCAGGACTGCAGTGAAGGAAAACAATGAATGGATTTAAGTTCTGAGTGTGTGATCCAAGTCCTCTCTCCTACCATATTGAAAACCTAACAATCTCAGCCTTCTTACTGTTAATGTGAGTTATGGGAAAAACCAGCCCTATTTTACACCTGGGAAAACAAAGTACAGCAAGGCTGGATGACCTTGACAGTCATGGGAAGAATATCAGAGGCTGGATCAGCAACCAGACAGAGATCTAAAATTCCAGAGGCTCCCTTCTCCCATGCCTCATAATTAGACTATTCTGCACAAGAGCTGCATGGATTTGCTCTTGAAGATATCCAGCTAACTTCTAGGTATTTTATAAATATTAGGAGTATCTTGGTGAAAAAATTAGATTACTTTCTAGACAATATAGTTTGTTTTCCAGACAACCCTGTGTGTTATAATTTGAATATTTACTTGGGAAGCAAGATAGGGCTTTTGAAGAGAAGAAACTCATTTTAGCTTCAGAGATGATGCTTCAGGGAGTTTCTCTTCTCCTGCAATATGGAATACTTATACATTTGGTAAATGTTTTAGATGATGGGTGATCTTTTTAGATGGACCCAACCCCCACATACTCCCACAAATTCTTAAACTCTCCTCAAACTTAGGAGAGTCAGAAAATCAATTTTCTTTTAAAAAGAGAAGAGAAAAATTTTGAATTTTTCCAACAGTTGTCTCCTAACATATGATGGTTTTATCTGGAAAAGGTTACATATTTCTTTGTATTCACTAGGAAATGGGAAGACATTGTTAGTGTCCAGCAAATAGCTGTGGCAGTGCAGCACTACCTAAGAACTTGTACATTTCAGCTCCTTCAGAGTTTTATTCATGACTATTTACTGCAGTGTATTGTATGCCCACTTTCACACACAATTTCATGTGAATGAGTTTCCATTCCTTTTGCAACCTCCTTTATTCATTTACCTCTTTGGCAACAGGACAAATTACATATCTAATCTCATATGTTGCTTGACTGCTTGAAGGAGAATAGAATCGAGTGACTCAGCCTTCCTGCTTCCAGGAGTTCCCCACCCTCCTCTTCCCCCGAGGGGGCCAATGGGTGTCTGCCACCTGATATCACCTCACCTGGGAATGACCAACCATAGTGGAGACTGTGTTCAGACAAGACACATTTCATACTGCAATGCTCCCTCTGTGTAGACAGAACTGAACCTAGATAATAAATTCCCCTCCCTTTTCCACTTTTGCCTTGTTTTTTTCTGATGCTGCCCTGAGCAAGGCAGCTCAACACTTGTTGGTTGCTGCTGCACCTCACTCGTACCTTTGCTGGGTTTGCATTCCAACTCGATATATTAGATAGTTTGTTCCTCCAGGCTATTCCAAGAGTGATACCATAACAGGAATTGATCAAAAGGAAAAATCCAGCTTGGAAAATCCATCAAGGATGGGGAGTTTAGTAAGTTCCAGCCTGCAGGAGTTCCTTGCAGTCTGATCCCTTGGATGATGCTCCTAATGAGAGCATGCATGTCCTCTGCCTGTTACCACCATAAATACTGCAAATCCTAGGGCATTTCTGCATTCTAACATCCTGGAACTTCTTTCTGCTCCCTCCTTGGCCAAGCAGGGGAACTCTGAACCCTAGCTGCAGTCATCACCTCTCTTCAAAAAGCCTGTGAGGAGAAGGCAGAAGGCAGAACTCCCAGTGAGCTCAGGGTTATCAGACACTGAATATGTGGAGGGCTTGGAGGAATATCTGTGTGTCTCTCCTGCTCCTTCCATTGCTATTACTACAGTGAGACAATACATGGTCACAGATAAAGAGAGGGGACTGGCCATGACCTAAAGCTTTTTACCCGTTTGCAGAGCTTTGTAGAAGAAAAGGATGCATTAGGGCCCAGCTTATCCCTTAAACAAGGATTGATACCTGAGGGATTTCTTTGGAAACACACTGCTATCCATGTAAAGTATATGTTTTATTTAGCCACCAGAATTTCTTCCAGACTTGCTCATCAACCCCACTGGAAATACCTGGTTTTTAAAGAAGTGATAGTAAGTGGGAGAACAGTGAAATGTTCCCATCAAGCCAATGTTACCTGCCTGCCTTGGCCACAGATCATACCAGGCCCCATGTGGAAATGATAAACTCAATTAACCCAAAGCTCCCAGTGGAATGTGTAAGTCTCACACTGATTTCCAGGCAACAAACAGACACATCAAAGGGACTTTGTTGTATCATGAGAGCCTGTGACATGTTCAAAACCATTCACCAGTGTGCACATATAAGTACTCTGTGGTGCGTTGTGTATGCCAAGGAAGAGAGTTGTTCCAGCCAGCCAGAATGTTTGATGTTAAAATTAATCTTGAAATGAAGGAATTACAATATTATCTGTAACAAGCATGTATTCTATACATCCATAATATGTGCAGTAATTATATGTAATAAGTGTGCTTAAATAGAAGTATATTATTTATATAATATGATTTACCTTTACATTTTTTGCCTGAAGGTGCTGTGGTCTCTAAAGTCACTCTAGGTAGAGGTGATGTGGTTCCCTGAAAAATCTTGCACTGCCTTTGGGCCCCTGCACATCTGCTGAATCCCACCAGATGTATGTGCCAGGGCAGCTTTGTTCCTACTGCTTGTTCAGCGCCTGCAGTCCCCAGTGTCCGGCAGGGAGGCCTCCAGGTAAGTGTTGCAATCAGAAACACTCTATTCCTTATTTACGTGTGCAAATTGCACAGAAGAGACCTAAAGAGTAAGCTCAGAGACAGACAGCAGTGGAGCACTTGTGTTGCTGGATTTTGTGCAGTTCCAGGGGAAATATTTTCTCCCAGGAAACCGTGGCACATGGGCACGTGCTGGTGCAGATGGGGTGTTGGGGTGCACAGCCCCCATCTGGGTTAGTGATCAGGTTGCTGCTTGTACAGGGTC